ACCGACGACCGCCGAATGCGACAAAGTGAAAAGGGCCAAGCGAGCAGTCTCAGCCGGTCCGGACGTTGTGAAGACGAAGAGAATCGGCTCCCCGAGGCGTCTGTGCTGCTCCAGTCTTGAAGGCATGTCCTAATCGGACCCGCCTCACGTGGCGCATGGAGTGGTCACTTTCAGAGCGCATCTCGAGCTCATCGCCACTTCGATGGAAGGCTCGGCGTGAAAGGAGCAGAAGATCGGCTTCACATGAGCACCCTTGCTGACGCTGTTTCCGAAGCCGTCTGTCACGTGAGGGATGTCAACATTTTTGCAAACATATTTTAGCGGAAAAGGAGAGTATTCTTCTTGCAGTTTGTGTTGTCAACTTGAATCAGGAGGTAAACAATAACCTTCCCATGTATGCAGAAAGCGACGTTTCGCTTGACCTTTTATTTTGGTATGCTGTCTCGTAAAATGCAGTCTCGTGTACTGACGATATTTGCCATATGACCGAAGTTGCAGGACCGTATGCCGAGGACTTCTTCATACAATTCAATAGTCTTAACTTCAAGGAGAGACCACTCCACGAGTTCCTTCCGGCCAACTCTTTCTTCGCGTGGAAAAGTCAAATCACACTAACACACTTTTCTATTCCTCATGAACGACACAAAACTGTAAGACGAGTTGGCAGAGAAACTGGCTAGGCAGCGACCACTTGGCTTTATCATTGGGCTCTGGCTAGATGCTGGAGGGAGGCAAGGTGTGTCATGAAGATGTTCAAAAAAGGGTACTCACCAAAAGATTCCTTTTGGCCAGCATTCGATTGGTTTTACCGAAGCAAACTTGCTGGCGCTGTCCCACAGCCAATCTCAGTCGGGTCCAGTAAAAGTGTGGTAAATTTACTTTTTTAAGTCGGTCGCGTGAGTATCAGTAGTATCAGTATTTAGGTGTCTTCCTCCCATTTCATTTAAGGCGATCCGAGGGCAACCTTGAAAACCTACTCACAAATTGAAAGTGAGTAGTGCTATCGATTGTTATGGAAAATATAACTTGGCTTCATCCACAGTCCCACCACAGAATTTAATATGGGAAATGTCTAAACTTTCTAAAAATGAACACTTGTCATATGTCCCGAAATCACTCGTGGTAGCGCGGCGTAGTGGTTGGCGTGCCGAGACTATGAGCAGCACTGCCACAATCTGGCTTTGAGTCCCGCCGGAGAGGCCGATGAAACCGGCTGAGGCGAGGTCGAGATTGAAGTCCCCTCTTGGCTGGATGAGAACACCTTTTAGGAAGCGAGGCTATATGAAGTTCAATGGGGCAATGAGATCTATTCACATGATTGTGGGTAAGTTGAACTATCGCAGTCTCCTTTCGATTTAAAGAAGTGGGTTGACCTCGTTGTCGCAACTTGGTCTTGTTGTCAGGGCTACCAGTAAATCTGTAATATGAGAGGTATTCACCCTATTTCGTTTAAGGTGATCAATGACTGGTAGTAGAATTTACCCACAAGGATATGAGTAGAGCTGACGTTTGCATTAAATTTCACAGAGCTTTGCTCTCCCAAAAGTTGTTCTCATCCAGACAGAAGTGGACTGCAGTTTCAACTCTACTCAAATACAAAAAATAAGTGACGTAGTCGATTGTTTTAGCAAATATACGTTTGCTTCATTGAAAATCCCACCAAAGAATATGATGCGGCAAAAGGCCTGACATTCCTTGAAATTCACATCTGCCTTGTGACCCAAAGGTACTCGTGGCAATATGGCTGAATGGTTAACGTGTCAAGCTCCCATTCTGTACTGTCATGGTTCGACTCCGGCTGGGGGTGTTGATAAGACTGATGCGAGGTCGAAGCTGCAGTCCACTTCTGTCTGGATGAGAACAACTTTTGGGAAGGCAAGGCAATGTGAAATTCAATGGCAACATCAGCTCTACTCATATCATTGTGTGAAAATTAATCTACCAGTCCTTCATCACCTTAAACGAAATGGGGTGAATACATCTTCATAGTTATTCTGCTGTTGTTGTGGTGATTGCTTCCAACCCCAAAATATTTACTTGAGTCATTTGAAGGGGATGCAGAAAGGGGGATAAAGAAAGAAAGTCATGTAATTTGTCTCATCCTATTGAAGGAGCTTGGTAAAATTGTTCAAAAACAGTATTGTTCTCTGAAGATATGAGAACCAAGATGGTGCGGCCATATTAATTTTCTCAAAAAATAAAAAAACATGGCACTGGAAGAAATAGACTTATTGGTATGTTCCGATGTGGAATTCATGCATACAAATATCTCTGGAGATAATGCGCTGGCAGCCGTGCTGGAAATCCTGGAACGAGAGGAGGATATTCAGGAATCACAGCGGATAAGGAAAGAGTCGATTAATCAACTTGAAAATAAGGAAAACCTATTTTACATTCAAAGGGAACGTCTATGAACAAATATTTGGACTTCCCATGGGATCACCGCTCTCACCACTTTTGGCAAACGTATACATGTACATAATAGAAGAAAGCTTCAAGCTGGCACCGCTACAACCGGCAGTGCTCACGTGTTATCTGGATGATTACTTCGTACTTTGGTCAAATGAAAGAGAAAAACTAGAAGAGTTTCTGCAGTTTGTAAAACAGATTGATGAAAATATTTACTTCACGATGGAGGTAGATGAAGGGGAGCGGTTACCGTTCCTGGACGTTGAAGTGATTTGCTCTAATGGGATGCCCAAACAGAAATTGTTCATACGAAGAGAAACTTGGTTTCGATGAA